GGTTGGTTGGGTTGGTGTTTTTTTCTTCTTCCTGTTTTTGTTGTCTAGCGCCGATCCTCTGTGTTAAAGACCAAGGCAAAGAAATCATTAAATGTCTCTGCTTTGTCTGTATCCCTGTTTGTGAGGTTACCATGCTCATCAAGTAACGGGCCAATGTTATTTCTGGAGGTTTAGATCTAGATTTTATGTCTAACTCATCACTTCACTATACTATACTCAAGATTGAAAGTACTTTGAGACAGGGAGAGTCCTTATACTGTATTCAGCGCATAGTACAACAGGGCTTATCTTGACTGCATCCTGCTGTTGTATTGGGAAGCAAAATTTCTTTAGTCATTGTATTAGCAGCAATAACAATATAATTTCATACACACTGATAGAGATGGTAAGTTTTAAAACTATAGATCAGGTTTAAAAGAATAACAACACTGTATCTCCTAAAATATTTTGAGAGTTTTGCCTTGTGGTCATTCATCTTCCATACTTAAACATATAATATTAAGGAAAATGTTACTAATTATAAGTTTCAATTTTTTCATGTTATTACTTTGTTTAATGTTCCTGTGTTCTTTGAAGTATCTTCTTCCATTACTTAAACTGTATAGATTTTGGGTTTTAATGTTTATTTCTAAATTATTATTTCACATGTATTTAATCAGTTAGTTACTGGTTTCTGAAATCCTGTTGGATGTTAAATATTTTCTGGATTTGAGACTAATGTTTTTATATGAATAAAACAAATTAAGAGTGCATGCCAGTGGTACTATATGAGTTTGTTCACCATTTTTTCAGGCAATGAAAGAAGTTTTAGTATATGTACGTTGAAGAGAACTATGTTTCTGCTAGATGTTACAGAGAAATTTGCATAAAGCAAGATGAAGCGGACTATGCTGTCATAGGCTGGACTGCTCATAAAAATTGTAAAGCCCCATAGAAATGGAATTTGATAAACCAAGTATAGTTATGCAAATGAAATGAGAGGGATACAAGAGAGTACTGTCTGTTATGGTAGTAGCCTCTGAGCCGGAAAAATGAGGCTTGGCATCAAAACTAACATTATAAGAATAATCCTGCTTTGGAGATAAGGTAATACCTTTTGAATTTCAGACTTCAAGCCAGTTCCAAGGACTGAATGGTTTATGTCATTCTGAAAAACTGGAACATTTTAACCAAATTAGTGGATGATGTTGGACACTTTACACAGTATTCTGCTCAGTTGTTCTATTTGCTTTATTAAGGAAATATATAAAGCCCAATTTTTGGTGTTGATCTTGTGATTTCTCTGAGTGGATGTGACAACAGTTTAATTTTCATGTAGTTGTATCAAAAATTGGATCGCCTTAAGAAACTGGAACATGTGTCTGTACTAGGTTGCTGTATCATTTGCATTCATTTTGAAAAAATACGATTTGGTTGATCAGTAGCAGATTATTTAAATTTTATTGGCATCAAAGTGGTCACTCCTGCATTGTTTGTCATTAAAATGTAGAAAGATTCGTACTATACGTGTACCCTTCTGTTCACCCAGAAAGTGTTTGTGTTTGAATGGGAATCTTAAATTAACTGTGCTAGCCTTGTCTCCAAGTAAATGCACAGATCACATGACATTGCAGAGAAGACAGTTTTTTGCTCCTATTCTGTTACATTTCTGATAGTGATGTGAGCACAGCTGGTAGAGAATGGTGTTTGTGTCTCACAGCAAATCCTTTGTCTTGCAGGACTGTAATCCTGAGAGGACATGCTTTGCTTTCATCTTGCAGTTTTTCTAAGACACTCTGTCTCAGCTGTTAATTATTGAGGCTAAGAGTTATGGAATACAAAGCACTACTCAATGGCTTTGTGAAGATATAGCATTGATGCATTTATAGTTTAGAAAGCTTTGAATGTTAAAGTGTACTTTATTTCTGTATATAATTTCATACACTCTTGTATTAACAGAGGGCACCTCAAAGCAAGCATAATGCAGGTTCCCATGATACAGAGAGGAACAATGAAGGTCAAGGAACAGCAGAAATCAGCATAGCAACTACTGGTACTGGTCAGGTAAATTGATTATTTTCTATGTTGATAGTATAATTAAATACTTGAAATGTACAATGCTTATATTTTGGTATATACCTTATTGTGTTTGTATGCATGTTCATTTTTAAAAGATACACACTTTTCTTCATTCCATCTGGAAGTGAGAAACTTTCTTGTATTTATTAGAAAGAAATGTTTTAATAGGATGAAGTGTAAACATTCCATAATGCAAGGAGCCGTTTTCTTTTATTTAAATGATAAATGAGCCTAATACTAAACAAATAAAAAGAATGACTATAGAAAATGTGTTTTATTCTAGGCAAACTGTAATATTAGAAATATGGTTTAATTATGGGAAATTGCTCAAAATTTCACTTGAGAAATTATCACTGAAATATTAGTGATTTTGAAAACGAAAATGATCAAATGGCAGGTTTATCATTAATATTTTGTTAATATTTGTGGTGGGTTGACCCTGGCTAGACACCAGGTGCCCACCAAAGCTGCTCTATCACTCCCCCTCCTCAGCTGGACAGGGGAGAGAAAATATAATGAAAGGCTCATGCATCAAGAAAAGGACAGGGAAAGATCATTCACCAATTGCCATCATAGGCAAAACAGACTCGACTTGGGGAAATTAGTTTAATTTATTACCAATCAAATCAGAGTAAGGTAATGAGAAAATAAAAACTAAATCTTAAAACACCTATCCCCCACCCCTCCCTTCTTCCCAGGCTTAACTTCAGTCCCGATATCTCTACCTCCTTCCCCCCAGCGGAGCAGGGGTACGGGGAATGGGGGTTGCAGTCAGTTCATCACACGTTGACTCTGCCACTCCTTCCTCCTCAGGGGGAGGACTCCTCACACTCTTCCCCTGCTCC